GACAGCCTTGCAGACTTGTCTGCTGCTTTGTGCGCTCTCTTCTTCCCCTCCATCTCTCCTCCCCTCCCTCCCCTCCCCAGAACCATATGTTTCCTTACTGAAAATCTAACTGCGAGCAGGTCGCCATAGCGAGGACTGACGTCAGCAGCAGAGAATTCAACCTTCAACATGGAGTCGAACAAGGTGATCTACTTGGCTTTTACCTTTCCAGCGCTGTGCTCCAATACGTTTTCCAGCAGGTCAAACCTTCTTGTGATCACAGGGGGGGTGGTACAGAGTTGGGACATTTGGCTTACGCTGCTCACCAATATGCGTTTTGCTGACGACGTGCTTCTCCTCGCACCGAGCTTACAACAATTGAAGTCATCTTCCGGGACCTCAAGAAAGAAGCATCTAAGCGCGGGCTTGCGCTACAGTCTGAGAAACCAAAATTCCCACCAACCTCAGCAGACGACAGGGATGGACCATCACGCACACCGACGTAGACGGCCACAGTGTTGAAAGCTCCAATGCGGACCACACCAATAAGCATCTTGGCTGCGAGCCCACATTCCACGACTTTCACCAGGCAGAGCTCTCCAACCGACTCGCGTCTGGATGGCGCCGTTTCAATCAGCTTCGCGACGAACTCACAGGAACGAGGTATCCACTCCCCACTCCACACCAGGTTAAGCGGAGCACTAGCGCCAGCAGCGATGTACGGTTGCACCTCCTGGACGCTCACCAAACACTACGACGCACCCAGCGACGGATGCTACGACTTATCGCGAACACCCCGAGGCATCGAACGAGACACAACAGCACCGCGTCCGGAAACGTCAACAGCTCTGACGACGAACCTCACGTCGACGACGGAAGCAACGCCGACACCAGCTTGGACGACAGCAAACAGCGGCCGGATCTCGATGATGGCCACGATGACGGCCTGGAACTGTGGGAAGAGTTCCTACGCAGAGCTACGCACATAGCAGCGGACACTTCGTCGCAGACCAGCCCAGATGAGTGGAAGACGGTCTATTTCAGATGCAAGTGGCGATGGGCCAGACGAGTAGCCGCACTTCCGCACGACAGGTGGGCACGACAGGTGGACATCCACGACCGCCGGCGAGCGCTTTGCCCGCGAGGAGCCTCCGCGCGTGCGAAAGGATCTTCCCACCTTCTCCGTGGGCCTCCTTGAAGGTGGCAAGCGGAAAGGGTGGGACAATGATAGCGTACAGTTTCTCGAAGTAACGGCGTCTTTGGCTCACGCTGGCACGCGATGGCACGACATGGAGCAACTTTGAGGCGACGCTTCGACAGCACACGGCTCACAGCGCCACCGGCCGAGAACGTCCACCTCCACACATCAGGGCTCCGCGACCGCGGCTTTCAAGGCCCCGCCGCCTGGCGGACAGAGGTGCGGTCTGCTCTGCTCCGCCCCCCTCCCTGTCCTCCATCCCCCCCCGTGTTGCTCCTCCTCTCCTTCTGCTGCTGCCGACCCTCCTGCTCTTCCTGCACATCCTCCCCCTCGCCCGCACCCTCCTTCTTCTCTTCCTCCTCGCAGCCACAGGTTGTTCGCAATTTGTCTCGTCGTGCCCTGCCCAGCCGCGCCTGCTCTTTCTCACCCCGTGCTGGCTTTCAGGGTGGGCGCGATCTCCCAGCTCCGTCATTGGACCCCTGTTTATCGGAAGTTTTCTGTCTTTGACCTGCTTGCCGTTTTGGGGTGCGTTTCCTCTTTGCTTTGTCTAGGGCGCCTGTCGGCGTCACACGGGCCTACTCCCTCAGTGGAGAACGCGCCGATCGAGACACATTGTCAGCGGGATTCGGGTGAGTCTAGGGCAGCCTCTTGGGAATGCCCAGGAGTACGGTCAGTAGGGCGACACGTGTGACCCCTACCCCTACTGCCCCTGGATTTGGACCAGAAGGGGTTCACCAGTGGAGGTGCATTTTGCTCGCGCCCCCCTGGCAGTTTCTGACCACCCCACTGGTGAAGCCCTGCTGGCCGATTTCGATGGATAGTACGGTAGGTTCGTGTCGTGTTGACGATGCGACGACCCCAGCGCGGGCGTTCAAGGTTGGACTCCGCCAGTGGCCCAGCATCAGCCAATATTGAAGGATTTGGCGGTCGAAGAGCCGCCGATCTTTCAAGGCTGAGTGATTCACGCAGGGTCAGACGACAACCCCGAAGTTGTCACGACACAAACCCGCCATAGAGGTGTAGGGTTCACACTCGCACGTAGATGCCTAAGGAAAGCCTCTGGACCCTACATGCAAGGCCGTCAAGGCCGTGTAGTTCTGAACTTCGGACGCGGGCGCTGGACGACGGGTGTCCGGAGTGATTGTCCCCGATGCTGCTTGAATGCGCTGCAATGCACCACCGGGCGCTGACGGAGCCACTTCATCATTGACGGCTGCTCTGTTTCTTCTACGATCCCGGCGCGATCAGAGTCAAAATGTTGTTTTTTCCTCTTGGTGCTCACACCGCCCCCAGACGCAGGCTGCCGCGGGAGTTGGGTCATCGCTCTCTAGCGACGCCCGGTAGCACAGCCGCTCTGCTGCCAGCCGGTGTCAAGGCTGGGCCACACGAGGCGTCGGTTCGCGGTAATCAGATGTCGCTCTGCTGCCGCCGCGCAGCGGTTTCGCGGCAGTCCTATGAGCACAGCCAGCACATCAAATAAGAAGTCGCCCTGCGAGCAGGTGCCTCACGGAGGTTTCTTATCCCACGATGGCCCTGGGGTCCCACAGACGCATTGGGGCACCTTGAGAAGCTGCATTCTCGAAGCAGAAGGTCTCTTCATATTTCTAAGAGCAGGGTCTCTTATCGTATGTCTTACCGCATATGTCTAACTGCGCGTGCAAAAACTAAGTTTTTGCACGTGCAGTGCGAGCGCGCGTGCTGATCCCGCGCTGCGGTCTGAGCTCGGGCCCGACTCTCTGCGGGTGCTCGGACGCGTGGCAGCAGTGGAGGCGGCGTCTGTGTGCAGCGGCATACTGCGATGGCGGAGGTCTGGGGAGGAGGTCCGGGAAGGAGCAGGATGGAAGCAGCAGGAGGAAGAGGAGGAGGAGGAGCAGGATTGGGGAGGAGGTCTGGGAAGGAGCAGGACGGAAGCAGCAGGAGGAAGAGGAGGAGGAGGAGCAGGAGGAGGGCGGAGGAACAGGAGGACGAGGAGGGAAAGGGGGGAGAGAGAGAGAGAGAGAGAGAGAGAGAGAGAGAGAAAGAGTGAGACAGAGAGAGAGAGAGAGAGCGGGGGAGGACTCGTTTTGAGCTCCACGCCCAGCTCCACCAGCAGCCAGTGGTACGGATGGCAGCGGTGGGAGACGCTCTCCAGTCCAAGCAGGGATTCCAGGAATAGTTAAATACAGTTGTAAGGCTCGTTGTCTTTACACTTACAGCAGCCCTTTGGAATGTGGATGATGATGTAAACCTCTGGGGTAAAGTGTCGTATCCGCCCTGGGTGGCCCGAATCGGATGGTCTGTGCACGCAATGGTTTTGTGTCTGAGCGAGCCGTCGCTCGCCCCTTGTGCCCAAGTCGCTGGCCACTGCAGCCCGCTGCCAGATTCAACGCGAAGGGCCCGCTCCTCAGCCACCGACTAACAAAGTGCTTGAGTGAGCCGAGCCGAGCAGCATGTAGCTTACCAGACTTGCTACACATGCCAGGCGCAGGCTTCTCGATCGAACGTTTGCCTCTCAAGCAGTCTTCGCACCGCCAAGCACCTGCCCGATTGTCTCCAAACGTGAGAGGGGCCGGTCGGGGTCTGGGGGATGTCGAGCAGTTTCAGCCATTGGCACATCCAAAAGATCCCGGAGGTGGATGACCTGGGCGGCCATGCGCACGGTGGCTTTTGCGAAACTCACAGTCCTGTCGATAACCTCGAAGCTCGCCTCACATCTGGCGTGAGTGTTGACAGCATGATTGATTCCTACGTCAGCGTGATAGTTTCCAATCATCCTCCACCGCTGCCGATTATCAATGCCCTCTTCATCAATATCCTTTTGCGATGCAGCTTTCTTGTGGAGCAAGGTCGACGAGGGCTGAATATTGCAAACGGGCACGCGCATAGGTACGTTTGCTTGAGAATTGTCCAGCCTTGGGCAGTCCAACAATCCTTACAAGTGTGCTGCAATCGGACCAAGCCTTTGAGTCTCCGCGCGCCAGCAAGCGAGACCATGTGTTCTAGGAGAACTCATCACTCTGAGAAGTTGGCGGGTATGTGGCACAGGCAGGGGCCCTACATTCGCCAGCGGAAACACAAACATAATTGACCACGGCAATGCAGGGGGCCGCTCTCGAAAACTCTTGAAGATAAGACGCGTGCAGGGCCAGTCGATGACAGGGCCCTTCAGCAGGTATTGTTTTTTTTTGTGGGGGGGGCTCCAGAGGGAGACACCAGATCATCGTCATGTTACACGAAGGTGGGACCATCACAACTTCCGTACAGGGCCTCGGGTGAGAGCCCCCTTCCGCCCGCGCCTGACCGCGCGACCGATCGATTCCCCCCCCTCGATCGATGAGGAGGAGGCTCGATCCTCCTCCTCCTCCTCCTTCTCCTCCTCTTCTTCCTTCCGCAACCATGTTGTTGGCTCGCGGCCAATATGGTGTCCATATCATTGCCTCCACGGGGTAGGCTCCCACAGGCCTCGGCTTTCCGCGCGCTGCCACACCAATGGGCTTGTAGCGGCCCGCCAGCTTTCCTGCTTCTCGCATTGGCCTTGCAGGCGGCCTTACATATCATCCATATTCTCTCGCCACGCGGTGGTTCCGTACTCCCGCTGGCGGCTGGCGTCCCGTTCCGTGTCCCATGCCCAGCTTCTCACACGAGGACCGCAGCACGAGCCGCAGCCAGCAAAACGACGCAGAGGTGGTACCGAACGTCGTCGCGCCACCGCAGCCGCTGACACACTTTCGCTCATGGCTTCTGGTGCAGGGAAACAAAGGACTGCCAGATCGGGATGTGCATCGGCAAGGCCCGAATCTTCAGGCCTTCCTGGCGGACAGATCCATGGCGGCCACGCGGACCA